CTGCCTCATTTCAACCCAGAGCTTGCTCGTAATTCACCGTTACCGACAGGGGTTCGCCAGGCAGGGACCCCACTGATCGACGCTTCGCCGACTGCTTGCCACGAGGAATTTCTTGGCGGGTTCCCAACTTTGTGTCAGACCCTTCTGGGCTGTGTTTTGGGGTCGGCTTCAGATGTGTGACTGAGTCGGGAGGGGCTGCGGGAGCTGCAGACCTGTCCTGGACGGCCCATGCTGAGGAGTGATGCACGTGGATCTGAAAAAGCTGCCTTCTGGCTGCATTTTTCCATTAAAGAAATAATTATCATTACCTTTTTTTTTTTTTTTTTTTTTAATTCGGTTTTAAAGGAAACTTGTTTTTCAAGTTGTACACCGAACAACAAGCAGAGTTAATGCAAAGTGTCCCTCTCATCCCCCTCCAAGACCCATCCCCAAGCACTGACCCTTCCCATTGACCCAAGCCATTCCCTTCCATTGGACGCAACGGAGCTGAAGCAAACCCTCAGCTCAGCTCTGCTTCAGCCTCCGCTGCAAAAAATTTAAAGCCTGTTTTATGGCAGGCAGGTCTGGCCTGAGTTCCTCTTGCCTCCCCGGAGACTTCATGAGAAAGTCATTCTTTGGCTGATTTTGTTGACACTTTGTGTAAGAGTTGCCATGGCTCTCGCCCGGCACACCTCCCCGGGACAGGAGTCTGGGGCCAGGGCTGCTGCCAGCGATGGGTGGGGATGTGGGGACACAGCCACCCCACAGCCACCACCAGGGCTCCCACTCCATCCCTCTCTTGCTCCAGCGCCGCGATGTGTTACGCCATTTCTGGAGCCATTTCTGGAGCCATTCCATGCGTTGCCATGTGTTGTTTTTTGTTTTTTTTCCCCCCATGTCTTATCCCATCCCGAAGTTTCACACTTTCCCATATCCCAATAGGATACGGGATCCCTGCTGGCTGAGCGCTGCCCTGCAGTGTGGACAGAGGGACAAGGGGACCCTGAGCTGGGCTTGCTGCCAACAGAGACATCTGCTGTGGGCACAGTGCTGGCCCCCAGCGCCCAGCCACCTCACTGCTATGCACAGGGCAGAGCACAGGGGCACTGCTCAGCACCCTCCGTGAGTCCCTTTGCAGACTAAGCAGCCGTTTCTGATGAAAAACATCCCCTAAAAAGCCAACGAGCGAAACCACGGCCTCCCTTAATGATATTTGCTTTGTGGTTTGGGTTTGGAATATCTTCCCCATAACTGAAGAGCAAAACCCTCTCTCGGATGGAAGTGCGTTTGATTTTCTCCCTTCCCAAGGCTCCTTGGGGACGTTGGCAGCACCACGGTTTGTCACCATGGACTCTCCCCTTCTTGGGACCCCATGGGATCATTGACTGGAGGATGAAGGGATTTCTCCATATGATGAGCTGCAGCCACTGTGCTCCCTCCGTGGACCGTTCCAACTCCTTCCAACGCGGTTGTATTTTATCCGTGGAGCTCTGTAAGGATTTTGTTCCGTCATCCTGGAATTTTTATGACTCCTTTGTGTGTATATAATGCGATTGCCCTGGAACAGAGAGAAATTAATCATTGTTCCTTTGTTAGTTTTCAGGAATTTTTAATGCCTATGTTTTTGTTCATCTGTCATGTCCGAATGTGGGGTCCGTGGGCTATTTGACATTGAAAATGACTTAATTGCTTAGGTTTCCCCCCCCCGGTGTTTACGGACACTTGTTCATGGTGGATTTGGAGCGTGACATTCCGTACCATGTACTTTCTGCCTGTTGCCAATTTTTCACCCCATTCCAGTGGTTCCTCTCCAGGAATCCAACGGGTCAGGCTGCGAGCAGGAGCCCGGGGCAGTGCTAACCTCAGGTGGGAAGCCAGAGCTTTTTGGGGTGATGTAGAGATGGGAAGATGTCCAAGACTTCGTTGCAGCTGGGACTGCAGCTGATGGCATTGGGTTTGCACTGGGCTCTGTTGCGTGGTGTCATCCCTACTGAAGGAATTGTTGGGTGGGATCCCATGGGAAGCTGGCCTTAGGAACAAAGGAATGGAATGGAGCTGGATGGACATCTTTGAGAATGCCTGTCTGAGAGCACAGGAGCTCTCCAAATAGTGGGTGTCCCATCCTTGGAGGTGCCCAAGGCCATGGTGGGCCCTGAGCAGCCTCTCAGGCAGCCAGCCCATGGCAGGGGGTTGGAACTGGGGGGGCTTTGAACTTTTTTCCAACCACGCCATGATTCTACGATTCTATTTCCTCAACAGCTTCTCACATTGGATGGGCTGGGCTGCACCGGGGAGGTGTTTGGAAGCACAGCAGCTGAATGTGCCACTCCAGAGGCCACGCACAGCCAGGGTGCATCCCCAGACTGCTCATTCCTGGGTTTACCACCACTCTTACCACCCGTGCAAACACCTCCATGGGGCCAACATGCCCAACAGACCCCACCATGCAGTATTACACATCAGACCCCACCGTGCTGCTTCTCCAGACTGCTTGTGCAGCTGCAAGCAGGAATTCCCAGAGGAGCAGAAGAACTCTCCAGGCTCTGCTGTTATCCTACAAGGCATCAGCGTGGGGCCGGATAAACCCACGCGGATCAAGGGCAGCTTGGCTGGTCAATGGGAGGCAGCCAAGGCAAACAACAGTGACTCCCAGACCTCAATGGGAGCCCCTCGGTTGCTCGCTGCACTTCATTTGCTCTTTTGCTTTTAGAAGGGATGAGGTGTGGGGCCGGGCACGATGACATTTGGGCTCTCCAGCGAACCCCCCCCCCAAGGCCAATGGAAACTGCATATCACCCAGCACGCTGCACACGTCATTAGGAAAATGTTAGTTAAAAGGAAAGATGCAAATGGTCCCAGGCTGTGCTTCCTGATCACTCCTCAATGCCTCTGTGACATCATGTGCTTTTGTTACGGCTCCCAAACGCCTTCGATGCTTTTTCGGGCACGTTCCCTCCCGTTCCGTCAGGGCTGGTTCACATTAGGCTGTTTGCTCAGCAGCTACTGGGGCTTTGGCAGGACTGCTGCTGCCTTCTGCTTGCAGAGCACGAAGGGATCGTGGGATGCTGCTGGACATGTCAAAGTGGAGCATTGTTATGTTGGGGGGGAAAAGCAGCACCTGGGGCCAAACCCATCGGGCTCCCATTTGGCCGCATGCGGTGTTGCTGGTGCACTGGGGCTGGGGGTTCCATCACCATCGTGAGAAATGGGGACCACAGTGACCGTGGGCTCTGCAGACCCCTCTGGGAAGGTCACCCAGACCCCTGGCAAAACACGGTGTGCGTTAAAGAAAGCAGTCCCAGTGTATTCATACTTGCAAAAACAAACAGGAGGAAGGCAGGAGAAGGAAGCAGCATGCCATAGAGGAGTGCTGAGTTTCTTGACCTCCAATCCCTCCATTTCCAATGGCCATTTCCTCCTGAGAACCCCCCACAAGAGCAGCCCCTTTGGTGGTGCCCAGCATGGTTAGCTTTCGAAGGACACCTGTGTTCCTTCCCAACCAGATTTCTCTCTTTTTTGGTCTCCAGAGCTCACACTGCAATGCAACGCTGCAGTATCCAGCAGGCAGTGCTCAGCTTGGATGGGAGAGTGCGGAGAGGAGCGATGGAGGTGCTGCTCCACGTGCAGCTGGTGCTTGGGGATTCTCACTGCTGCTTCTTAGCATTTCTCCATTTATTTCAGACAGATCCCGAGCCCAGCAAGTTAGTCAGAATGTCGGTGCAGTGTTCCTTCCTGCTAAGAGGAGGATGCCAGGCACGTGCCCTGCTCACCCCCAGCACTGAGCAGCACAGGGCTCAGGCATCCTTCACCCCCAACCCCTGATAACGCTGCACTGGAACCAGGCTGAGCTGGAACCTGGGAAACAGCAGAGGGGACACCTCCAGGTGCAAAGGGTGACACTTAGCTTGGCTTTAATCTGTCCCTAAAAGCAAGCATCCCGCTGGCTGCCAACTCACCTAACCGCCAAGCCAATTAGCTTTGCTTTCTTTACCTCCTGCTGCTTTCCCCTCAGCGATCCCAGCAAACAGGATTTCAGTTTCACCCTCCTCCTCCGTGCTGTGAACGCTGGGTCTCTGTTTGTTTGTTTGCTCAGGGAAGTGCAGGTGGCTGCCAGGACCCCCCCAACCCTCAGCCAGGTGCCCCAGGTGGGCACACAGCCTGATCCCAGCCTGCCCCAGCCTGCGCCCTCCTTGTTGCACAACGGCCAACCCGGCGCTCAGATCGCATTTCTTCCAAAAGCAAACATTTTGGGGGGGCTGGAGGACTGGACAATGGGGGGGAAAAAAAAAAAAGAAGTCATTAAGCTGCTGCAGTGCCTGTTTGCACATCTTGCTGCTTTCCCACATTGGGAAGGGGGGGGTTCTCCGGTGCTGGGGGCTGTGAAGAGGGGCTGCCATGAGGGCGCAGCAAAGCGGGGGCTGCTGGTGAGGGTGTTAACTCTGGAGCGTAATGATGGCAGGGCAGAGAGCAGCAGGAGCAGCTATTTGTCACCAAACCTGAAAGAAACATCACTTTCTGCTTCTTTCTGTTGGCTAACTTGGCTTTCTGCGGTCACAGGGGAGCAGCAGGGATGCTTCCACCCGTCCTGCAGTGCTGCAGTGAGTACATGGGCACGGATTTGGCTGGAGGAGTGCTTGTCCCATTAGGAGACAGCTGAGATAAAGGGAGGGGACGTCCTTGGCTCTTCTGGAGCATCCCAAGGTCACCCTGTGTCCCATCAGCTGCCAGGGCCCGGTGTCCCCTCTGGCCTTGGAACTGCAGCACTTTGAGCCTCTGTCTGCCTAAAACTCGATGTGTTTCTGGTAGGATTTCAATTCCTTGACATCTCTCTTTGTCTGGCTGACCTGGATTTCTTTACGATTAGAAATAACTTCTCCCCAATCGCCATATTAGAGCATCGCTGCAGCCTGGCCGGGGGCTGACGGCTCAGAGGTTGTCACACGGCTCCTCGTCCCCGAGCTCCGCGGGGGATGGAGGACCCCCATCTCTCCGAACTATTTCTTGTTCCCTTTGGCAAACGGAGAAGCGGTAAAAGAAAAGAAATTACGGATTAGATCAAACGATGCGCGGGGTGCGGAGCGGCACCGGGAGCGGCCCCGGAGCTCGGCCCGGAGCTCAGCTCGGGACCGGGGGGAGGGAGGCGGGACCGGGCGGGGCTCGGGAGCCGACCCGCTCCAAACCCGCCCCCCGCCGCGGGGAGGAGGCGGTGGCCGAGCCCCCCCCGCTCCGTGCTGAGCCGAGCCGTGCTGCAGCCGTGCCACAGCCGAACCGAGCCGTGCCGGGCTCAGCACCAGCGAACCGAACCGAACCGCACCGCTTCTCGCCGATGGCGGCTCCCGGTCCCACGCGCGTCCCGGTCCAAGCACGGAGCCGCCGCTGAGCGCTGCGCACCGGCCCGGCCTGCAGGTAAGAAAACCCCCCCGTGGAACCGGGAGCACCTGCACGGATCCCGCACGGATCCTTCCCGCACCCCCGAGCCCGGTCCCGGCTCTGCCGCCGTCCCCTCGCACCCCTGGAACCCAACAAGCGGAGCCCAACAAGCGGAGCCGCCCCACGAAGCGGTGCTTCCAGAACCGGGCTGCCCCCCGCTGCCCCCCGCCCGTCCGGTGCCGTTGGGGCTGCCGGAGGAGTTTGCTTCATAGTTGGAGGGCGTCCCGCAGCGCAGAAAGGCAAACGCGGCTCGGACGGCTCGTGGTGCGGCGCTTTCGGGTTAGGGGAGAAAACGCGTCCTGTCTAAATATTAGCTTAAGAAACGGAAAGGATCCGCCGCACCGTCACCTCCAACCGGCTCTGCCCTCCTCGGGTCCCTCCGATCCTCGGCATCCGGAGCTCCGCGGGGATCGGAGGCCAACGGCAGCGCGGCGTCGAGGGAGGGAATTTCCCACTCTCCGTACGAAGGCTTTAACAAAACAACGTAGACCTCAGATGTCTTTATTGCACATATATGGTAGCTCGTGGCCGGCACTGATTTAAATCCGATCGCTGCTCGGGGAGCCGACCCGCAGCTCGGCGCCGGGGCGTTGCGGCGGGAGGGGCGGTCGGGAGCTCCGGGTGAGTCCCGGCCCCGTGCTGAAGTCCCGGTTCTGTCAGCGGGCTCACCTGTGGATCCCGAATCCCCGATCCTGCGTTGCTGTGCGCCGCCGGGTCGGACAGCAGAAGCGCGGAGACGCGGCGTGATGCGGGGCGGAGGAATCAGGTGGGGACGGGAGGGCCCTGAAGGGACGTTTTCAGAGGTTTTAAACACTCGTTTGCCCGTTGATTTTTAAAGCTGCTGGCTTTATCTGGGGCCCAGGTGTGCCCCAAAGCAGCACCAAATCCAGGTGACAAAGCGGAGCTGGCGATGCCACACTGGGATGTGGCACTGCTGTGGTGTGAGCATCCTTAGGGACATCGCCGGGCACCTGCCTGCTGCACAGGGAGGGCTGCCAGCTGTCCCATGTCCCCACCGGAGCACTGCTGGGGGAAAACAACTCTTTTTGTTTCATTTCTACATCTTATGGTGTTTGGTTTGTTTGTTTTTAACAGCACCGGATCAGAGGCACCTGCAGCACCAGGCTGCTCTCATGTCGCATGGCTGCAAATTTTGGGTGGGTGAGAGCACCCAGCACCTTGCAGCACCCTGAGTTGGATGCAGGAGCTGGCCCAGCTTATTGGGACGTAGCCAGGGACATACAGGCACTGGAACTGGGGGTCCCTGGGTTGGGAGCACCCCTGGGTTCCAGGGGGAAGGCTCGGTGGGTGCAGAGCGGGGCTGGTGGTGGTTGCACTGGGTGCCCTCCCATGGTGCAGCCGTGAATCACAGCTCGGTGCTCAGCAGCTCCATGCTCTCCCGGTGGGATCCCCTGGCAGAGCTGCTGGGCCAACCTCACATCTCTGGGGTGTGCTTTGTGGGTCAGCTTCTACCTACAGGGGAATGAATGCAAGGGATGGTCTGAGATGCGCAATGCCTCTCCTGTGGTCCCAAGCCTGGCCCATGCAGGAGTGTAATCAGAGAAGTGTCACCTTGGCTGTCCCCATGCCTGACGTGGTGGCATTAGGCACGCAGCTTTCTGTCCAGGGAGGCCCATCCTGTGGCAATCCCACAAACACAGGGCTGTGTTTGGGGCTGCCTGGTGATGGCAGCATCCTCCCCTGGAGCATCCTGTGGTACCCAGTGGGGCCGAGAGGTGGCTGACGGGGGATGCTGCGGGGTGGATGGATGGGCCAGGCACGTGGCTCAGGGTTACTGTGTTTCACTGCTGTGTTTTTTCCCCTGGTGCCGAAGGCACTTTCCATGCTGCTCCAAGCTAAAGCACGTGTGCACAGCCCTGCTGCCAGGAGCCGAGCTCTCACTAAGCGCAGGGACAGCTCTGGTGGATGGTCAGGATCAGGATGCTGCGTGCTCTCTGCCATGCCACTGGCATCCCCAAAAGATGCTGCAGGGATGCAGCTCTGGGGCCGGCTGATGTCCTTATCTGGGCGAGCATTCTACTCCAGCCCCATCCTTTGCAGATCAGACCAAAGGAATCCCCTCCAGCGCATCTCTTTCAGTGATTTGGAGCAGTCTTTCCCCACTGAAGGTGGCAGAAGGGAAAAGAAACACAAGCTGGCTGCTGCCGGTGCCACAGGGATGCTCTCATGTGAAGGAGCATCCCCAGCATGGGAAGGAGCATCCCCAGCATGGGAAGGAGCCAGCCCTTCCGCCGCTGCCCCAGGAAAGGAAATGCCACGAGCAGTTTTGCTCTGTTCACTTCTTTGTCACGAAACCCCAAACGGTCTCACTGTAACTCCAAAGAGCTAAACTGAAACAGTCGTTTGCCACCGTGTTGTTCTCAAGCGATGACAAAAAAGCATTTCCTCCTGCAGCTGTTCAAAGGCCGCGTCGCCAGCCTGTCAGCCCCCTGACAAGGAATGCTGGTGCCATCAATGCTGCTTTTCGTGAAGTGTTTTGATTTGGATGGAACCACATCTTTTTCCAAGCAGGAAAGGTTTCCTTTGAACATTGGCCAGGCTGAGCTTGCAGGGTCTGGGCTGTGGGGACGTGCAGTGCTGAGACCAAAACTGTGAGCTCTCCTGGGTGATGCCTGGCACTGAGTTGCCCTGGAGCAGAATTTGCCATAGTGGGGCTTTGGAGAGCCCTTGATTTCACCTTGGCTGTTTTTCCAGGCAATGTTAGTTGAGTGAAGAGGTCTGCAAGCTCATCTCCTGGAAAAATGCATCCCTGAGCAAATGGCAGCTCTCAAAGCAAGCAAACAGTCCCTGACATTTGGGGATGGACTGAGCAAGCAATTCCACTGCAGGGCTGGGAGCAGCTCCATGGTCACATCCCGTGGCTGAGAGCTGCTCTCACCCACCTCCATGCCTTTCTCCAGCAGCAGAGCTGCAAAAGCACTGAGTGCTCAGATTGTGACCAGCAGCAGCTTCTGTGCAGCTTTTGGTGGTTTCTTTCTGCTGTCAATGATGTTGTTGTTGGCTGTGGCCGGGCAGGGAGCACACAGTGTGTTTATTGCAGTGGTTGTTGCTCTCTGATCCTCTCCTCTAAAGAGCTGATGGGCTTAGGGACCCCCTGATGGGGCAAAGCCCCCACTCCTATTTGGGGTTGTGGGCCCTGCATCCAATGACACGGTGGCACTGTGGTTCCCAAGTAGCAGCAGCACGGGGAGGAGCAGCCATGGGATGCTCCCAGCAGAGACATTTCGTAGTCCCCTGGGTTTTTCCCTCTCTGTTGCCTTGCCTTGGCAGAACAGATGGGTGTCATGCCCACGCATAGGGCAGGGGATCAAAGCAGGTGACAGGGGGACAAACCAATTCACCCACACCCCTTGGGGCAGGCACTGTGCCCTGTCCCTCTGGGCTGTCCCTTATAGAACGGCTCGCCTGCGGTTTTACAGGCCAGCTGCTGTCTTCGTTAAGTGGTGCAGGCTTATTAAGACTGCATTTTTGAGGCTTAGCAGCTCTGTGGAGCCATCTGGGAAGGATGGTGCCAGCAGTGGAGCAGCAGGAGGAGGCAAGAGGCAGTCGTTGCCTGCGCCGAGTGCCACAGCCCTGTGCCCCTATGAGAGCCATGCCCCCATTGGGTGTCCACCCTCATCCACAGCAGCTTAGAGGGCTGCAAGGAGCCAGCAGCAAGGCAGCACGAGCCTTCCAAGCATCTCACAAGCTTCCTGGGGCAGTGGTGGATGGGGTCCTGCAGGATGCTGGCTGTGCTGCGCCCCTGCTTGAAGCACTTGGGGACATGGGGATGAGGCAGGTATGGGGTGCAGCCCATGACATTGGGGTTGGGATCATTGGTGTGAGGCAGGTGGGTGGCTGTGGAGAGTGACACTGGTGGGGAAGGACAGATGGCTGCTGTCTGCCTCGTCTTGCCCAGGCCATATCTGATCCCAAGTGGCTCTGGGCAGCACAGACCTGAGTGCCACCACCCTGGAACCACTGGTGGTGAGGCTTTGAGGGCAAAGCTCTGCACTTATGGAAGCTGCTCAGCTCCTCCTATGGAAAACCCTGACCCCACAGGCCGTTTGCCCATGGAGACAGGAGCACAGTGCCATGGTGCTGCCACGATGGTGTCCATGCACACAAAGGACCAGGCAGTCCTGACCCACTGTGCTTCACACACCTGCCCCGATTTTCCCCATTGTCTGCAGCCCTCATCATCTCCCAGCTTTGAACCTTCTCCAAACCAACCTTTTGGGGCTGCTGAAATGGAGCTGGAGGGGAACGTGTGCCAGTGGGCAGGAAGGACTCAAAACTTTTAGAGAGTGTCCAAAGGAGGGCAACAAGATGGCAAAGGGTTCAGAGAGCATGAGGAGTGGCTGAGATCCTCAGTTTGTTTGGCTTAGAGAAGAGCAAACAGGGAGTACTCATGGTGGCCTGCAGCCTCTTCGTGGCAGCCCTATAGCCCCCTTATGGCCTACAGGTTCCTCATGGCAGCCTGCAGCTCCCCATGGTGGCCTTACATCTCCTTCCTGATGGCCATACAGGTTCCTTTTGGCCTCCAGCTTCTCACAGTGGCCCTACAGCTCCATCATGGTGTCCCGACAGCTCCATCATGGTGGCCCTACAGCTCCATCCTGATAGCCCTACAGCTCCTCGTGGTAGCCCTACAGATCCCTTACGCCCTACAGCTCCTCATGGCAGCCCTCTAGCTCCTCTTGGTGACTGTACAACTTCTTTATGGCCTCCAGCTCCATCATGGTGGCCCTCCAGCTCCTCATGTTGGCCTTACAGCTCCTCGTGGTGGGGACCTACAGCTCCCTTATGCCCTACAGCTCCTCATGGTGGCCTTAAATCTCCTCGTGGTGGACCTACAGCTCCCTTATGCCCTACAGCTCCTCGTGGCAGCATGCACCTCCTTTGCAAGGGGAGCAAAGTTCGGGAAGCACTCAGAAATACGGTGTGAATTTTTGGTGACCACGTGCGGAGGCAGAATGTGGACTTGATGATCCTTTCCAACTTGGGATGTTCTGTGATTCCACGAAATCTCCATTTCCCAGCACTCCGCCGTCGCCGTCTCAGGAGGAATTCCTCGTTCGGTCGCTGCAGAGCAGCTCTAAGTGCTTCAATATGTCGGCAGCTGCTGCTGGAGTCGGATGCTAAATGCTAATGTGATGTTATCCCGTGCACCGTCCAAAACCCACTGGAAGGGTTTAGTGCAAATTGGATTTGCAAACCTCTATCGGGTCTCCCTGCCCTCAGCAAAGCACTGTAATCCCTGGCGGGCGCCTTGACAAACCAGCTCCTTCTGTGCAAAAACAGCAGATTTTGGGGAAAAGGGACAGCCAGACGGAGGGATGCCTCAGTGCTGGGCTGGAGGTGGCATTGCTTGCTTTTAGGACCACATTCCTCAGTGTTCTCCCGTGTCACCGGTCCCGCTGGGTCCCATAGTGACTTCCTCAGTGCAGGAGGAGGTTCTGTGGATACCAGTGGTGTCGAAATTGGCCCAGAGAAAAGCACATCTGGGGCCCGAGCTCAGCCCCGCTGCCAAAATGTAAGCTTTTAACCCTATTTCCCCAGGCACTGGGGTTGTTCAAACAAGCCACAGCAATTAGTTTCCTTCAGCAAACCACCTCTTTCTGGCATCGTGCGGTTATTTAGCGTTTGGAAGGGTTGGTTCGTCGCTCCAAAAGGGCTGTCATTCAGAGCAGGTTTTGGCAGGAGTGGGAAATTTGGGGCTGGAGAAGCGCCATTTGCCAGCACCTATGGTGCCTGGGCTGTCATACTTGTGGTTTTTTGGCTCACGTTAGCACTGATTTCCTCTTTGCCTGCGTGTTCCCTGTTGAGGTTGGACGTAAAGATTCTGGGGAGAATCCTCCGGTGTTGACAGGAGTGCTTCCATGCTCTGTTTTCTTTTCCTGCCCACCATCAAAGGGCCGTTTCTGTGCAGTGCTTTTGCTACCACGTTGTGTTTCACATCCTTGGTTTACCCCCACCTCAAAGGAGTGATTCTGCATTCGCGCTCTCTGCTCCAGCTGATGCTGAGCAATGCAATCACAAAACATTTCCCCGTAGTTTTACCTCTCCGTTCCCACCTCTTAGCACAAAAGGTGGCTTCTGCTGCTGGTTAAACCCATTGAATCAGTGGATAAAGGTCATAAAAGGAACTGCCCCTTGGGAGAGGTGGTAGTAGGGACAAGGGATGCAGCTGCACCACCCTGACCCTCCTGGCTCTCTCCCTGCTGCCCCATGGATTGGGCACACAGAGCTGTGGGGCTGTCCCCAGCCCCATGGGAGGAATGAGGGAAAGTGGAGAGCTCTGCAGCTCCTCGCCTTGGGCTGCTTTTCACTTTGGGAAAGCAGATCCATGTGGAGCGCAGGGCTCTGGTTTTACTTAGAGTGCATGGGGAGAGCTGGGGAGGAGCGAGGGGAAAGGGAGCATTGGTGACAGCACGGCTCTGTGGGCACTGAGATGCCCCAAACCCACGTGTGCGTTGTGCACGGTGCTGCCGTCTGCCACGGGGCTGCTGGCACAGAGCAACCCTGAGATAGAGCCGGAATTCGGGACCTCTTCTTTCTTTCTCTCCTCTGCATCCGCTTAATGCTAATTAATTAAGCTCAGATCAGGGTTTGGGGCATGTATCCTTCTGATGCTCTCCATTTTGGGCGTTTTGCCACTTTGGGGCTGTTCTGGCCCTGCAGCACTGGCATCCCCACTGCAGCCCTTCTCACTCAACCTACAGCACTCAGGCACAGCGATGCCATTTGGGGGCTGCGCTTCCAGAGGGGATTTCACCAACTCGGGGCCATTTGAGGAACATTCTGTCTGAACACCACACTGTCCCCATCCTCACCGGTGGTGCTGGGACCCCTGGGAGCTGCTCAATCCATTGGCTTCTCCAGGAGCCTGGAAGAACCACAGCTGCTCCGCCACAGCACGGAGCCGGGATGGAAATTGTTTAATTCTTGCGGGGTGAGTCATGAGGAGCCGGGATTTCAAAGCAGCTTGGCTCCCATGTAAGGCACTAAAATAAACAGTGTGGCAGGTGGAAGCTCTCTCTGATGTCCCGTCAAGGCCTTGATCTTTCCAAGTGTTTCGTGTTGCCAAAAACCTCGGCCACTCCGTGGCCTCATCCATTCTCGCGCCGTGGCCGAGGCCGAGAGCTTGAAAATAATGAATCAATGCCCGGAAGCATGAATCGACTGAAAATTTATGACATACTTACAATATAATGTCTTTTGGGCGCCCTGGCTTCTAGGCTTCAAAGCCCGAGGACGGAACGTACGCACGTCTCCTCTTCCCCCTCTCTCCGCCATAAAGAAGGATTTAGGGTAAAAAATGAAGCTCGGCTTCTCCCCTCGCCTCAGCACTGAGGAGTCTGAAGGACGACGTGAGTTGGCTTAACAGCTGGAAATGGTCGTGGAGGAGAGAACCTGAGAGAGTGAGGAGTGGATGAAGCCCACGCGGTCCCGAATGCAATGCAGCCCGCGGGCGTTGGCGAGTCCATGGGATGGGAGTGCTGCACTCCCACTGAGCAGGGACAGGCGTGAGAAATTCCAGCGCTTGGGAGACGGAGCGAAGAAACCTCCAGCTAGAAGCCAAGCTCCATAGGTTCTACATTTTGCTGAGCAATGGGGGAGGTGATGAACTGGAGAAGCACACAGAACCGAGGGCTCAATGCTTTGGGCTGAGATGGGAGCTGGGCAGGGAGCTCACCCCAGCACCAGGCAGAGGGGAGCCAAAATCATCAGCTGCTTCTTTGCAGGCAAGCAGTGAGCCTCGGCTGTGCTGCTGGCCATCATTTTTTGTGAGGTTTCCAGTTCTTCAGGATGTGGAGCTTTCTGGGGAGGATGCAGAGAAGCATGGGCTCAGTTTGATGCTCGGCTCCTGCAGAGTGGGGCTGCTGGGAAGGGTTTCCTCCTGCAGGATCGAGTTTCCCACTTGGCAGCAGGCGCAGCGCGGCTGGATCTGGACCACTGCACTGATGGATTATCGGGAGAATTCGGGAGAGCGCACTGCTTTCGGGCTGTTCTCCAGAAGAAAATCCAACTGCAGCCTTTGGCCTTTTGTTGAGCCCAGGAGGAGCAGCAGCAGCGTAACCAAGATGGGACCTCATGGCAGGCTGGGAAGAGCGTCGTGGTACCCAACCCAGCAGATGCTGAGCCCATGGGCAGCTCAGGGAGCACTGACTTTTGCTGGGGGAGGATGGAAGCTTCAAGGGTAGGGATGGGGAAGGGGCAGTGCAGGGTGGCAGAGCCATGATGCCTATGGGAGTAGCTGGGCACCAGCACATGGCAGCGTGGGGTCATCCAGCCACAGCAAAATGTTATCATTGGGGTTGGGTTTAGGATAGGTGGAAACCAAAGGGATCAGAGGGCACAGTTCAGAATCAGCTGTGGGAGAATCGTGGCCGTGAGCTGTGTGTGTGTGTGATTTTCCTTTTCTCCCCCTTGCATTTCTGCTTTCCCCACAGGTCTGGGGCTTAGAGTGAGAGAAACCAAAGGCAAAGCTTGGAATCACACTGAAAATTACCCAAGGAGGCTGTGGATGCCCCATCCCTGCAGGCATTCAAGGCCAGGCTGGATGTGGCTCTGGGCAGCCTGGTCTGGTGGCTGGTGACCCTGCAAGTAGCAGGGGGTTGGAATTAGATGATCACTGTGGTCCTTTTCAACCCAGGCCATTCTATGATTCTATGATTGTATGAATCATTTTTGTTTCTGATTGTTTTGTACGTTGGAGCCAGAGTTCCATCCAGCTTTTGGAAAGGTCACCAGCAAGCGGGTGGGGGCCACAATTGCTGGCTGCCCAAAGAGGAGTGTTTGTGCGGGCTGTGCGAGGCTGAACCCGCCCTGCTGAAATGTTACGGGCTCAGAACGAGCCAGAAGCCCTTCCCTGGGTTTGGCCACGCTGTGTCCTGCCCAGCTCCAACCCTACAACACCGCATCCAAAGCCTCAACGCCATCCCCCATTGCTTCACCGCACCTATTTGATGCCCACGAGCGTTTCCAGCATGCATTCCCCTTTCTCTCCTCATTGCTCTCAGCCTGAAATCCCTCAAACACCGCAATTAACCATGGGGCAAACCCACTCGATGCCTTCCCATGACCCTCCCCAGCACAGCCCATGGGGCACCATCCACCCTACAAGTGCTCAGCCCAACGCGGCACCGCGGCGCGCTGTGCGTGTCGCTCCGGCGCTGCCTCCCGGTACCACGGAGGGATTTCATGATCTTACCTCCTTATATGGCCAAACTATTCTTTTTCTATCTTGGCATTGTTTATAGCCTAGTTGAAAATATTTAGGCTCTGGCTGGGTTCTACAATTATCTCGTAACCTACGGGGCGTATAATTACTGCTAGTTAACGCGTAATTAGCTGCATCCTGTAAAATAAAGTGTTGCTGGCAATGAGGCAGCAGTTGCACAGCTCTCAGGGTTGTTTTCTGCAGTAACGGTAAAAGTGAATCTCTCAAATTCCATTTTAAAATAAACATTTTTTTTTCCCCCAGTATATTCTATTTGGCAAATATTGCTAAACCGGGTTATGTTTTGTTGTGTTTTTTTTTTTTTTTTCTTTCTCTCTTCCCCCACCCCCCAAAACCCTCCTCCCAAACTCTGACACCCCGTGGAAAATTTATTTAGAAAGGAGAAATGTTTGGAGTTTGCAAGGAGCTGAGATGAGAAAAAGGGGATGGGAGGTGACTGCGAGTCAGCGCCGCTCTCCGAAGGCTGGCGGTGATGGGGGTTTAATGGCTGCACCCATCAGCTCCCACCAGGTCCAACCTGCTCTGGATGGACAGATCCCAGCACTGTCAGGTAAGGGCATCCTGGCTGCCCCAGGGTTTTGGGGTGATGTGAGATCTTCAGGTGCTGCAGCTCTGAATTTCAGTCCCCAGCGCTGCTGGGATGGAGCAGGGTGGTTCTTGTGGTTTTGCTGGTTTTTGGGGCTTGGGGGTGGCCGTGTTGGTGCACTGTTGGGGCAGGGATCTGGGTGGAGGTTAAGCACCACAACCCCGTTCCCCATTGCAATCTGGGCTCTGTGCACATCACTGGTGGAGGCAGAGCAGAGGGGCTCAGTGTGGGATCCCCTCCCTGTGGGTTTCCCCATCCTTCACTCACAGCCACCCACCAGAGTCTCAGCCCCAATGCAAGGACAAGGCAGAGACCCAGCCACCAAGAGGGAGGCTTAAACCCCGCGTGCCACCTGCTGCTGGGGCTGCATGGGGCGAGAATATCCCCTTGTCCCCATTGTCACCACTGGGGACAGCCCATCCATGAACCACCTTCGCCTTTCTCCTGCTCAGCCCACACCCCATGCCTCAGTTTCCCCATTGCAGTCCCATCCAGACCCCTGCTGGGGGCAGAGAGGGGGATGGGCTGGAGCCCAGCAGGGGGCTGTTGGCCAACCTGAGCCGTGGGGACAGGGGTGGGAGGGGTGGCCCCGGGCAAAGGCAGTGTAATAAGGATATTTGTTTTGCCTGTTTTGCAGAGTTTCAATGTTCTGACTTGCTCTAAGATGAAGGTATGGAAGTTTGCAGCCATTGCATCGATGCTCCTCAGTTCCATGTTATCCATTTTAGTTTGTAGAGACATGTTCAACGGAAGCCGGACATACAGCCCCTTGCCTTCCTCGCTGGCCTCACGGGCATCCTCCTCCTCCTCTTCCTCTTCCTCGCTGCCGGTGGCTCCGCGGAGACCCCCCCGGGCCCTGCCACGCCACAGCTCTCTGCTCTCCCAGTGTAAGCACCCACAGCCCCACAACACCAACAGGGGCTGCTTTTGTCTCAGCCCCCACCTCATCCCTCCCTTCCTCCTGCACCGCGGGTCGGGGGCGTTTAGCAAAGCACGGGGTTGGGAGCATCCCAGGAAAACCACGCATGGAAAAGGCAGCAAACCTTCACGCTCATCTTCATGCTAAGAGCTGCTTTTTTTTTTTTTTTTTTCCTTTTTTCTCCAAAGGGCCTTTTTTTTGTTGTTGTTAATTGCCACGCTATTTTTAAAAACGCAAAATGTCAAACAGGAGCTGAGAGCAAAGGGAAGCAGCTCCATCCTGCAGCAACTTCCCCCGGAGCGCCGCTCGCCCCTTCGCCTTCGCAGCTGCTGGAAATCCCAGGCGTGTTTGCTTTTATTCCAAACCAGAGGAACTTCTTTTTGGTTTGAAATTTGGAAATCAATGACAAGCTGTCAAATTATGCTTTCCTCTGTGCCTCCCCCAGTGCTGTGTTGGACAAAGCCTGGGCTCAGGGTTAGGACATGGGGACAAGGATGCTGCCAGCTGCAGTTGGACGCTGTGTGTGTGCAGCATGCAGTTCTGGTGAGCAGTCCTTCCACCAAGCAATGGGAAAACATCCCAAATATTACATTTGCTGGAGTTTTTCACCACTCCGTGGTGGCTTTTCTGTAGTATCATCTCTTAGCGGGGATCAGGAAAATTTTTTGCACATTGGCAAGTTGGGGCAATGCCACCATGGAATGTTGGTTCCCATGTGCTGCCTGGTGCCCCTGTGTCCCCACTGCTGTGTGCACCCCACATCATGCTGCCCAATCCCCACCCTCAGCACTGCTGCCATCGGCCAGCTGGAAACCATGAGCACAGCAGATATTCATTATGCTTTCTTTTCCCCTCCACTTCTAATCATGCACTTAATGTGCCGGGAAGGGTATGGCTTTGGGCAGGGTAGAAAACAGAAAGGAGGAGGAGGGAAGAGGAGGAAGGTGGGGTTATTTGTGGGGTCTTCATTTTTGCACAATGGGGAACCCATCTTGGGGTCTCAGTCCCATGCTTAATGTCACAGGATGGGTTGGACGGGGCCTCAAGGTTTATAGAGCCACAGAACGAGCTGACTGGAAGGAGCCTTAAAGATCACAGAACCATGGAACGGTTGAGTTGGAGCGTTGGGTTGGACCTTAAGGATCATCCAGTTGTACCCCTCTGCTCTGGGTGCTCCTCACCAGCTCAGGCTGCCCAGTGCCCATCCGTGGCACCTCCAGAGATGGGGCACCCACAGCTCTGGGCAGCAGCGCTGGGACCTCACCACCCTCTGGATAAAAGATTTCTTCCTCAAATCTAACCTATATCATCTCCCCTCTGTTAGTTTAATGCTATTTCCCCTCATCCTACCACTATCTACCCGTGCAGGGGGGTCTGTCCCTCCACCTTCTGTGATCCTGCGCACCTCTGATGCACGGCCGCTTTGTGGCACGGTTGGCTTTGTGGCACTGAACGCTGCCCTTTCCGCCCCTTCTCTTGCAGACAGCAGCCTGCTGGAGAGCTACACGGAAGGGGAGATCCGGCAGCTCATCTCGGCGCTGGTGGAACGCTACAGCCAGGCCATGAACTCGGGTGGCCACGAGTTGCCCCTCTTCCCCAAAACGGGCAACCGCATGAAGCGGGCACGCGCCCGCCACAAACCCTGCGCCCTGAAGGAGCTGGAGGTGAGCGTCAGCGAGTTGGGCCTGGGCTACGAGTCAGATGAGACCGTGTTGTTCCGCTACTGCAGCGGCACCTGCGATGCAGCCGTCAGGAACTACGACCTCTCGCTGAAGAGCGTGCGCAGCAGGAAGAAGATCAGGAAGGAGAAGGTGCGCGCACGGCCCTGCTGCAGGCCGCTCTCCTACGATGATGATGTGTCCTTCTTGGATGCCTACAACCGTTACTACACCGTCAACGAGCTGTCGGCCAAAGAGTGCGGCTGTGTGTGAAGGGCCGGGTTGGGGGGTGGCCCAATGGGGGCGAAGGTTACGGTGGGGATGGGGATGGACCCCACACCGCCGCCCGCCCCATGGACCTCCCATGTCCAGTTGGAGGAGGAGAGACGACCCGTGGACCTACCATGTCCATTGGGAAGAGGAAAGATGCCCCATGGACCTTCCGTGTCCGTTGGGAGGAGGAGAAATGCCCCACAGACCCCCCATGTCCACTGGGACCCTCCAGGTCTGTGGGGGAGGAAGAGAGATGCCCCACAGACCATCCATGTCCATTGGGAGGAGGAGAGATGCCCCACGGATCCTCCACGTCCGATGGGAGGAGGAGTGATGCTCCACGGACCCTGCATGTCCACTGGGACCCTTTTTGTCCATGGAGGAGAAGAAGAGGTGCCCCATGGACCCTCCATGTCCATGAGGGAGGAGGAGAGATGCCCCATGGACCCCCACATGTCCAGTGGGAGGAGGAGAGACTGCAATGCTCGCATGGCCCCGAGCGCTGCTCCCTGCCCACATGTGTGCACTGTGACCGTGGGGCTGCAGAGGAAAGTGTAAGTGTGAGTGTTGTCCCACTGAGTGGGTTCCCATCAGCTGACCCTCCAGTTGGGTGTGCGACACAGGCGCTGGGCTCAGGGTGTGACACACACTCAGGGTGTGCTGCACGTGGGGTGTTGTGCACAGATGTTGTCCCTGTCGTCGTGCACTGGTTGTTGTCACACAGATGTGTCACCCGATGAGGGGTTGTGAGCTACACATAGAGGTGACAGGGATGTGTGTGCAGGGTCCAACGTGTGCAGTGTAGGGTGCCTGGCGTTACGACGTGCTGTGGGCACAGGGGGTGTTGGATGGCTACGGGTGCCCCAGGTATGGCTGACATCCCCTGTTTTCACTGTGTCCATGCTGGGGTCCCCGTGCTGTGCCTCAAAGCCCCACGTTGGGTGCAGAGCTGCATGCACTCCGTCTCCATTCCCCACACCCCATCCCCTTACTCCCTGCAGCTGCTGCTTTGTAGGATAATCTGCAGTAACTGGATTAAGCCCACGGCCCCTCCGCCTGCAGCCGGGCTGGAGACGTGCCACTGCCATGGAGGTGACACAGAGCCATGGGGCCACCAGCACGGCTGGGCTGCAGCAGGTGAGGATCCCCCAAAGCTGGCCCAGGGCAGCACAGCTCGGAGCGCATGCAGGACAGGGCTCAGGCCTGGGCTTTGGCTCCGCTTCGCATTTACAGCAGTGTCACTCTTGTTTACTCTGCGGAGAAATAAATGAGACCGCAGACTTTTGCATTCTCCGGGCAGGCTAAATTTGTTGCCTGGGATTGATGGGTTTTCTCCCCTTGGCCCTCTTCCCAGAAAAAGCAAATCATAAACAGAAGGAGAATATTGGTGTCGTGTCCTGGGCATGGAGGAAGAACGCTCCGATGGCAGCGCTCCACTGGGGGACCTCTGTGCCATATTGGGACCATGGCCACTGGGGACATGGGCAGGATTTTAGGGTGGTGGTGACAGAGGTTACCCCAAAAGAAGCAAATGCAGGAGGATCTGTGCTTGTGACCCACGCTGTGCCCACAGCTTGCTCCTGCCCTCAAATAAAGCAACACAACGCACCCAAATCTAATAATAATAACTGCGCTCTGAAGGGCTTGGGCACGTTCCAGTTCTCACTACTATAAAACTAAAATTAGTTGTGTTGCAGAAGCCTCCAGTTAAACAAGCAAAAAAAAAAAAAAAAAAGAAAGAAAGAAAGAAAAACCAACCAACAAACAACCAAACAACCAAACCCCAAAGGCACTGCAGCACAGGAAGGTGCTCAGAGCAGAGCAGCAGGGTGAGCACCGAGCTCCCCGTGTCACCAGGAGCGCAAAGGTGATGCTGAGGTTTTGCAGCTGCTGTGTTGCTCCTGGTGTCAGGTTTTGGAGATGTGTTGGAGATACCCACTGCTTTCGGGGCTTGCAGGGCTGAGGTCAGCAGCAGCTTTGCACCCTCATGCTGCTGAACTGGTGCACTTTGCAACCCCAAAAGCACCCCAAAGCATTGGGAAACCCCCAGTGCGAAGCGTGTTGCAAAGCAACGCGGATAGCTGCAACGCCTCTTCCTTTTTTTCCCCCCCTTTCCTTTTTCACCCCACGCGGAGGTGCGGGGGAAGTGGCTGACGTTGGCAGCGTGTGATGGTTCGAGGAGTGCATCTGGGCTGCAGCTGCACTGTGCAGCCACACAACACCCGGGGGACGAGCAGGGCCAACGCGGCCATCACCCAACCGTGGCTTTTGCTTGCGTGTCGCTTTTGTGCGTGTCACTCAGGGTTGTCCTCTTGGGGACACGTGTGTCCTCCAGCTCCGGGAGCATCGTCCTGTCCCGCAATGCCTGAGCAAGGAAATGTGGTTCCAATAGAACCGCCGCTCTTTCCCTTAATGCTTTCCATTTCTACAGCCCTCTCCGCTGTAATAGGAGCTGGAGCTGTCTGGAAGAATGTCTACAATGCAGAAAAGGCAAAAGGATGGAAAATTCCCCGCTCAAAGCTACGGCGCAATCTCATCTGGCTCTCTTCCTCATCACCCCATGCGTTACTGATTGCTAATAACGGTGTGCAACATCTGTTGGGTGGTGTTTTTGGGATTTTTGGGGCATCTTCAACCCTGCAGCTTGCCCATCACCCAAGGCAGGAGACGAGGGCTGGAAACGACGACGAGATGTTTAGAACTATTCCAGTGGTTGTGACAGCGCAAAATATGAGTGTTATGTTATCCCGACTCTCTGATAATGAGTTATGGGACGTTTCATTGTGTTTTACTATACACATCCCCATATGGCCGTGCAGTGTTTGGGTAACTCTGGCTCTGGCTCTGGTTCGGCTCCGCCTGTCACTTGCATCAGTCGGGATCCCATTTGCCAACATGGGCGCACTCCCGATTTGGTATCGGTGAGGGGGAATGGGCCTAACATCATTGTTTCCACTCGGTGAAAGCACTGGCAAACGTTGAGTCCTTTATTTAAACAGGTTCAGAAATGTGCTGGGAAGAAATCATTTCTCCCAGTTTATCAAGACAAATGGTTTTTCGGCTGTATTCGAGACCTCAGCCACCATCTCTTCATAAATAGGGCCACCACATGGTTTTGTTCTTGGTTAAACAAGGCAGAACCTCCGAGTTGAGGCCCAAGAGGAAGAAAAGAAGGGAAGAAAAAGGAAAAAAAAGGAGAGATTTGGCAGCCATGGGCAGGAGAAGGGTGAGCGCGGGAGGAGGCAGCCCCATCCCCACATCCCCATGTCCCCAACATCCCCATATCCCCACATCCCCACATCCCCATAACCCCACGTCCCCATGTCACCACTCAATGCCATTGGTGCAACCCCATTTCCCCTCTGGTATTGTCGGCTCTGTCCGACCATCTGCAGAAGTTGATGCAATGCATCTATATTTTAGATACTCCCTATTTATTCGAAGTAACTTATGTTATTTATTTAGATACCATAGTGTGCCATCTATGTAACGCGTTCTTTCTCTCTCTCTGTGTTTTTTTTTTTTTGTTTGTTTGTTTTTTTAAGATTTTATTTATTGATCCAAATGGTGCCAAGTGCAGTTTACATTTATTACATTTTTACCATTTATTCTAAACGTTGGGGGAAAAAAAAAAAATGCAGTATGATATTATTTTTTTTAAACAAACATAAACTCGGGTGTGATGCTGTTACATACTCACGATAAAGTGAAAATAAAAGGAGAATTATATTGATTTCTCTGTGGTTGTGTCAATTTCCGTGGGGTTTTCAACTTACTGCTGCCTCCGAGCGAGTCATTGAGGTGTGGCATTAAGTCCCCAACGTGGGGATGGGGACGAGCATGGGAAATGTGGGTTTTCTCTTGGAAGAGCAGAGAGGGTCCATGTGGCTCTCTGCAGGCTAAAGGGGCGGATGGAGCTCGACTTTATTTTCCCATTTCCTGCAGAAACCTCCATGTGCATCCGCCAACAGCCCCTGTTTGTATCATTCCATCATCACAAAGATACACTGATGCGGAATCACTGATTTAAAACATTACCAGGGCTGGGTTGTTGCCTGTATGAGTCTGTACTGGTTTGGCCACAGAAATAATTGTCCTCATCGCCTCCGCATGAAGGCTCTTCCACTTGGGTTGGCTCAAAGCTGACGTGTCCCGTAGGGATGCACCAATTCTGGCAAAATCACGTCCAAAAAAAAAAAAATTTTTTTTTAAAGGAAAGACGGGGAGAAAGAGAATGCGAGGTTTTGATAAGGTCAGCCAGAAACGTGTTTCATTTGCTCATCCGGAAGCAGAGCTGAGGTTAGAAAAGTTTTATAGGGAAAACAACTCGCCGTCAGCAGCAGCGTTGGCTGTGGTTTTGTTGCTCCTCGTATTAAGACGATGACGATGGTGGTTAATATTTTGCCTTGGGAGAAACGTTGCAATATGGAATCCCAGCCAAGTTCAGCCCTCAACCACTCATCCAAGCAGCACTTGTTCGTTCCATCTTTACCACCCATCAGCCCCAGGTGTCTGCCTCTTTCCATGGGCAGAAGGGAACAGGCGAAAACGCCGTTGAACCCAAAAAAGTTTATAGCAGTTTTTCAGGAATGGAAAAAAAGGTCTGTTTATCTTCCCCCCGTCGTGCCACCCAGAGATCTGACATCTCGTGGCCGACTCAACCACTCGCCCCTGAAGCTCTGCTCTGTAAATATTTTACGAAGCATCTTTTGAGGCTCATAAATCTCCATCTGCGCCCGCGTGCGCGGGAGTGTTGGGGGGGTGTGTGCTCCAAAAACTGTGATCCTGCTGCTGGCCTGCCCGAAAAAAATAGAAGAGAAAGGAAAAAAAAAAACCAAAAACCAAAGACAAAGTGAAGTTTTAATGATCAAATTGGAGAGGGCTGCTTGGAAACTCTGACTCATCCAGAAAGAAAATAATGTTTGCAGGTGACAAAGTACAGACAGGTCATGCTCCTGGGTTGGGCTGAAGGGATTTTGAGTGCCATTTCTTGGGGTTGAGGAGTGTGTTGCTTGCTTGGATGTGGGGGATTTTCACTGGCTGGTGCCAGCTGTAAAGCCCCGACATTTGGTATCCATGTTTTTAAGTAGAAAAGGAAACAGCTGAGAAATGGGACGGATGTCTGCCCATAGGTTCAGGAAAGCTGGAAAGCAGAGGTTTGGGGTTGGGGTTGGTTCAGGTTCCTTCGTGCACTCAGGACAAAACTGGCAGGGATGAAGCTCGGAGGGCTCCATCTCCTGTGTTTTCAGAGTTTTGGTTTGTTTCAGCCATTTCTCTTCCCATCCCCACCTGCAATGCTGCACTACACGGGGATTTCTTTTTCTCTCACGCTCTGCCTTTCCTCTCCACTCCTGGTAGCCCTACAGAGCAGAGGTTCCATGGGTAGGAAGCTCAGCGGAGCCATGGGGATATTTTCTAGGATGCTGAAAATACTTGGAGTCAGGGGACACTGCATTCTTCCAGGCCATGAGGGGACAGGGATGTCCCAGAGGAGGGACAGAAGCCCACACCATGCCATGCCAGCTGGTACCGAGGAAGGCTGACCACCTCCTGCCTTAGATTGCAACTGTCTGCTTAGATCCTGCTCCAAAAACTCAACTTTTTTACATTATTCTTTCTCCACTTCCCCATGAGGATCAGCCTCTTGCTCTCCTTTTCGGGAAGCAAACCTCTCCCCTTTGTTTTTCAGACCATCTCTACCCAAAAGCATCAGCTGAGAACATTTCAGCCCGGCTCCTATCACCTTTGGGTGAAGGCAGGGGAGGATTTGGGGGGAGCAGGGACTGAAGGAGCCCCTCACACTGACGTATGGCATTTTCCCAAGTGGGTGCAGATGGGAAAAACCAGCCCCAGGCCCCGCGGCGCAGCCATCCAGATGTTTCCTTCGATTAAGTCACCCCTTCCAGAGTTTCCCAACTGTGGTGTCAGCTTTCTCATCCCATAAGGAACTCAGCCTGTGTGTGCCTCCATGTCACTGAGGAGGGGAAGTTTCATGCTGGATTTTGTCCTGACGTTCCCATGTCCCTGCCAGCCTTTCCTTGGCAGGAAGAAGCCGCTCACCTGCAGAATATTAGTTCTTTCTAATCACATCTATCTCAGCTCAGTCAACAGCATTAACATCTTACATTTCTCCAGCTGCTCAGGACCTGAAGGGCTTAGAGATGGGAAAACACCACGTCGGTCAGTGCATCTAGGAGATAAAGGAAAGGTGTGTGTCTGCAGGCAGGCAAGGCAGGAGCAGAAGCATGGGCAAATATTTGGCAATAGAGATGGTTGCTTCACAAATATTTTGCTCTTCTTTGAAGCAGTCAGCAAGCACACGGCCAAGGAAGATGTGGCATGTTTCTCTGTGTGAATTTCTTTGCTAAGATCCAGCAAAGGCTCTTCAAGAAACGAAGCAGCGTTGGTGAGGCCCCATCTAGATGGGTACCATCAGAAGGATGGGAAATAGAGGAGGGATTAAAGTTCAGATTTCAGAGTGAAGGATTTATTCTTAGGCTTGTGATGCTCAGTATATTCAACCAATCTGCAAAGCAGAGAGAGAAAATAAACAGGCGACAGTGCTAAAGACAAGGTCTTGCTGGTGGGTCATCAGCCACAGAATGACTGTGCAAGGAAATGCAGAGGAAAATCTTTACTAAATGGTGCTGATGGAGAAAACAATTGTGTCTCTATATGCATCGCTGGACTTGGAGCTGACTTTCCTCGTGGAAACATCCTGGGGCTACAACAGACCTTTGGAAACCTCTGCTCAGGGCTCAGCAGCAGTCAGGAAGACAAGCTGGATGTCCGGAGGTGGCAGCAGGGAGCTTGGGCTGTCTCCATGCAGCTTATCTCCATGCAGTGGGGCTCCCCAGTTGGAAAGTAAACTTTCCAGTAGCATGACCTGGAAAGCAGCAGGAAGTTCAATAAAGGTCAAACACAAAAAGGTGTTTGTAATGCGTGGCCTGGAGCACGGCCATCAGCTGATGGCAGAAGTTGGGATGTTTGGGCACACAGGAGGAGGCAGCCCGTGACACAGCTGTGCTCAGCATTTCCTTGCCATAGGGTGCTGCACGTGTGAAAACTTCACTGCGCTTTCAGGGCCATCCGTGTCACTTTACCCACACCAGTGTGCCCCTGTCAGATCCTTCCCCACATTCACGCTGTCTCACTAAGCTGTCCAAAAAACAGACTTGTAAAATAAGGACAGCAGCCTCCTGCCTGCTGAGCATCCTGATGCAGCACCCTAAAGGCAGAGCCTGAGGCAAAGAGAGGTCAGGAGGGAGGAGCTGCACAGCACGGCCACCCCTTCCAGCTGCAGCTTTGCACAGTACAAAGTCCTTGAAGCAGATTTACGACTGTATAAATTGCTTCTCCACCTTCCCCTCTCTACCCCTTGCTTCTGCCTTACAATCAGTGGAGTCCATCCAGAACTGTTTTCAGAGACTGGAGGTTAAAAAAAAAAAAAAAAGAAGAGCATTTTGCTCTGAGCTTCTGCAAAGACTGAGCTGCAGCCAGCGTAACATTCAGGTACATAATGCATTGGCAAAATACAATGTCCTACTCTACCTGGCAGTCTATTCTCTAGGAAGACAAAGGCACACCCAACACCAAAACGCTTCCCCATTACTGCTTGTTTCATAGCTCCTCTCGTCCTTCTGGCTCCACCACATTCAATCAGCCTTCAAAACTGCAACCATCCAGCGAGGACAAAAAGATCACAACGCAGCAGAGAGCTGAGCAAACAGCTGTTACACAAACCACTTGGACAGATTGGGCACGACGTGGTAGCTGGCCTCTGTCCTCTGCAGGAAGCGACAGGCTCTGCAGACTTGCATGGCCCAGCTGACCCCCAGCACGGGTTTCAGCCACTTGCGCCACTGGAAGTAGCGCTGGTACCTCTCGGTGTCCCTGCTCAGTTCCTGCAGGTACTGAGCCAGTTCACCGGCGCTGGCAAAGTCGTCGACATGGATGAAGGAGTCAGGGGGCAAGAAGTGCTCGTAGTTTTCTCGAGGCGGCCCCAGAACAACAGGGATGGTGCCAGAGAACAGGGCATTCCTCCAGAGCTTCTCCGTGATGTAGTCTTCGTGCTGTGAGTTCTCAAAGGCCAAGTAGAAGTTGTACTGGGACACAGTTTGGTGGAGCATGTCCATGGGCAGGGGCAAGTGATGCCGCCCGTACACATCCACGGGGATGTGTTTCTTCAGCTCTTCGTAGTACTTCACCCGGTGGGAGCTTGGTCTCCAATTGCTGACCACCCAGGCCACCATCTTGGTCTTGGGTGGGATGCTGAAGGGCTGGGGCTGGCTGAGCAGCTGCAGCTCCCCATAGGGGGTGAAGATGTCCGAGTCTCTCCGGTATGACATAGTCAGGTTGAAGAGGTGGTTCATGGCACCTAAGTTTGGAGAGTGACTCGGGGACTCCATGTTGAACCAGATCCAGCGCTGGGATGGGAGTCTGGGGAGCCGGGCCAGCCTCGCTCCGTCCCCACACACATCCCTGTGATGCATAATCACAGCATCTGCCTTTTGGGACCAGCTGCGGTTGGCGGTGAAGTGGCAGTTCGGGGTGTCAAAGAGCTCTGAGCAGTTGCTAAAAGTGAAGCGCTGTCCGAAGGGCCACGTCCACAGCAGGATGGTCAGCCTGCGCTCGCTCTTCGGCGGGGTGCAGGTACTTCCAGTTTGGGATCTTTCAGTGGGAAGATAAGAATTGTTATCCTCTGGCTCGGGAGTCCTGATCTGACGAAGAGAAGCGAAGAGGCAGAAGCTGAAGATGAAGCTGAAGAGGAGGAAGGTGAGGAGTTTCTTCCAAGAGATCTTCCCTTCCAAGAGCTCCGTGAATGGATCTGCAAACACCACAGACGGAGCGCTGAGCGGTGGCTGCATGCCGATGCCAGCAGGGCCGTGGCTCTGTGTGCACAGCACGGCAGGGAGGTGTGCGGGAGGGCAGTGGGGCCGGGCACAGCATTGAGGCCCATTCACCTCCAGCTTCCTCCCGTCGGACAGAACGGCTGCTGTGGGAGCACCACGCACAGCCTGCTCACATCCACGCACACCCACAGGGCACAGCCGCCCCTCCAGCGCCCAGCTTTTCCTCCATCCCACGGCCTGTTCTCATCTGCCACCCCTCGTTTCACACAGGGACGCCACGAGCAGGCGGCGCCCAGCTGCTCAGCCCCACGCCATAACACCGCCCGGCGCTGAGGGACGCAGCCCTGAGGTGCTGCCCCGCCCACCAGACACATTTCCTCCATAGGCCCCACCCCCTTCCGGTCACAACACGTTGTGATTGGCTGGTGGGACAAGCCACGCCTCCTTTCCCTCTGAGCGGGAAGGCGTTTCCCCACACACACACATGGTGGCAGCCATCTTGATTTTGACGCCATCTTGATTTTGACGCCATCTTAGGACCAGGTGCTGCTGCTTGGTGGCTGCCATTTAGCTGGACGTCACATCAGGAAAAATATATTAAATTCATACCAGATGTAGGAGCTCACGGAGGAATGTACAAATACCTGTTTTATCTACTATAGATACACATAAATATGCATCTATATATGCATGCACATCCCAGTTCTGGCCAACAACAGCCAGACCTGCAAGTTAAACCTTACAGCAACCTGCAGTTAAGGGTTCTCAGGGCCTCCATAACCCCATGCCAATAAGATTCTTGTTGCTGAGCTACAAACTGCATTTAGCTTTCCCAATTAGCAGTCTTTAATATATATATTTTTTTCTGTTAGGCTAGTCTGGAGGTCAAAGTCTCAGTACCAGCAGCCTCTATCAGAGCACCATCCTCCACCCTTTAAACAGCAGCATCCTGCTAGGTGCACCTTCTCTATACCAGATCTTTCAGCTCTGCAGCATCCCCAGTGCTCTCATTGATCCCCATGCTCTTTTCTGCAGTTGCTGTGGTCTCTAAGATCATAGGGCTGCAGCCCCAAAACCTGGGTTCTGCCTCTTTTGCAGCCCTCAGGACAGTCTAACGGGACGGACTTCATTGCATGCTTAGTTTTCTACCTCTTATTTGCAGGACAAGGGAGCACAAACAGCACCAACCCACACCGCACAGTGTCTTACAGGTAGCTGTGAGATTTCCAGCAACAGGATTTCTGGCAGAAGCTGGTGGGACTGGCACCAGTCACTTCTTGTCTATCAGTTATACTGACACTATCAGTTATACTGATGTGGGAGCACAGAGGGAAAAAATACCTCCCTGCAAACAGAAGCAAAAACAGATTTCCACAGACCTCCTCCCTGATGCCCCTAAGAAAAAGAAAGAACTGTGCCAACTCACCTGCAGGCATGGCCCTGGTGTGAAACTGCACAGCGCAGGGGAGAAGTGAAGTGAAGGGCACAACCAGGAAAAGAGGAGAACAAAAGAAAACACAGACGTGGGGTGGGATCAGTGATGTGTTCCAGGCATCTTGAATGGTGTGTGCCAAATGGCAGCCACCAGAACCCTCACCCAGTAATGAGGGCCATAAGGAAACAGGGGCAGACTCCTCTGACAAATTTGTGAGCAAAGGTTAAACAAAGCACCTCTTTTATTGACCGATTACAGCACACCTCATTTTTGAAAGCACCTCTATACATGCAATAGCTTACTTCCTTTACCATTCTGGCCCGCAGGATTTGCATGTGATGTGCTTTCTCCTCCACGTTATGTCATGCAGAAGAACATCTTTGTTTGAGAAGGGTGGGGCACATTAGCAGGGAGTGGAGGTGGAAGCACCAGGTCTCCCAGCCCCCTGGCACACAGCAGGGTTCGTGGCACAGCTGCCTCCATCCCCATGTCAGGATTCCTCTTCTAATCACCTTTCCAGGATCTCCAGCATCGTGGGACCGGTGATTTCAGGGATCACCTGGAGCTTCAGAGTAGACAAGCACTTGACCAGGACTGTTAGGGGATCCTTCCACCCAGCACCGCAGACCTGGCTTTGGAGTGTCTCCAGCCCCAGAGAATAGGCATTGTACAACATGGTCTGTGGACACACGGAGGCTGTTTGTTTGCCACGGCCAGAGTGAATTGATCTCGCATTGAGCTTGGCTGCACTTGGCTGGGACAAAAAAACCCACAGCCATTATGTGTTATTATAGGGCTTAAATATTGTTTCTTGCTGAGGGTATCCGAGCACTGCAGCCAAAAGCACAAATGAAACTCCTGCATGATGTCCCCAGATGTCGTTTTCTTCAAGGCTGTGGAGAAGAAAGATTCGAGTTTCCAAGCACTGCAGGGAGCTCTGAGTCGAAGGATCCTGGAGCACCAGGCTTCAGGCAGGTAGAAAATTCAAGACTTTTGCACCCCTGAAAACCAGGGCCATGAGGAACATTAGCTGGCAGGGGTGGCTGATGTAAATTAGACAAATGAGCACACGCAGGGAAGGCACAGAAAACAAATCATGAAGCTGTGAATTGAGAATTGTTCTGAGTGGCACAGGTGACATGATGTGAGAGATCACTCACTCAGAAAGTGATGTGAGCTGTGACATGGATTGAACAAAGAAGCCGTTCAGGTAACAGGCTTAGCAGGACCAAACATGAGCATTTATTCTATATGATGAATAGGTTTAGCAATCCCAGCATCTTAAGATAAAAAAAAAAAAAAGGCTGAGATCTGGAGAAGCTTACTGGTTGCTGCCTTTGCTGACAAAGAAAGTGATTGCAGAGCTTCAAGGGCTGAGCATTCATTCACCTTGATGAGCACAGGAAGATGAGAGGGCTGAACCCTCTCATCTGGCCAGCAGGGACAGGGAGGTGATTGTCCCCCTCTGCTCTGCTCCTGTGGGGCCCCATCTGGAATCCAAGTGTGGAGCCCCCAGGACAAAAAAGACAGGGAGCTGTTGGAGAGGGTCCAGAGGAGCCACAAAGATGAGCAGGGGCTGCAGCACCTCCCC